GGCCGTGTGTGACAGCATCCTGGGGGGGCTGTCACAACGCAGGGAGCCCATGGGGACACGTGGCAGCCCCCCGAGACACCCATCGTATCGTAGGGACCCTGAGGGGATGCATGGCAGCACCCCGGGGACACTTGTCACATCATAGGGACCCCGAGGGGACACATGGCAGTGCCCCAGGGGCAGCTGTGACAACACAGGGACCCCAAGGGGACACGTGGCAGCCCCCCAGAGACACCCATCGTATCATAGGGACCCTGAAGGGACACATGGCAGCACCCCGGGGACACTTGTCACATCAGAGGGACCCTGAGGGGACGCATGGCAGCACGCTGAGGGCACCTGTCACATCAGAGGGACCCCAAGGGGACACATGACAGTGCTCTGGTGCACCCATCATGCCACTGGGACCCCGAGGGGACCCGCTGCAGCACCCATCACACCACGGGGACTGCAATGGGACCCACTGCGGCACCCGTGATGTCACGGGGACCCCAAGGGGACCTGATGCCGTCACCCTGCTGGCACCCATCATGTCACAGGGTCTCTGAGCCCCTGGCAGGGGGGTTCCCATTACAGCATGGGGACCCGCAGGGGACCCAGCATGTCCCAGGGACCCCACTGCAGCACCCTGGGGACACGCAGGCACAGGGACACGGACGGGGAGGCAGCGGGGGACATGGGGCACCCTGGGGGCAAACCACTCCTCAGGACATCGTCTTCCGACCCCACTTTGCCCCACATCCCCCCAAAACAGGGGACCCAGAGGAAAGCAGATCCCAAGACGCAGCACAGCCCGGGGCTTGGCTTCGCTCTCCAGCACCCGCTTCCCCACCGGTCCCCGAAAGCAGAGTCACGGCGACAGGGGGGTCCCCAACTACCCATCCCGAGGGGTTTCCTGCCCAAGGTGAGGGGTTTAGGGGGGTCTGCGAGGGGGTTTCAGCCCCTCGACATCTCACCAGCTTCTTGGAGAGCAGCAGAGCGGTGCTGTTGTCGCTCTCCAGGGCCCAGGAGGCGAAGCGGAGGATGTGCTCCTGGTGCCGCTGCAGCTTGGTCATGGCCCAGTGCTGCCGCTCCAGCTTCTCCTGCTGCCCCTCCGTCACCCTCTGCGAGGAAAGGGGACAATGCCACCTCAGGGCGGAGGGACGGTGACACGGGACGCGTTGGCACCGCATCACCACCCGGCTCACCTGAGCGTCGCTCACCAGCACCTTGCCGCGCTTGTTGAGCTCCTTCATGATCTGGAGGATGGCCATCTTCACGTCCACCTGCACCCGCTTCTGCACGTCCGTCACCTGGCGGATGCTGCCGGCAAAGAAGGGGAGGGGTGAGGGGGGGTAAATGCCCCCACTGGGGGCAGATAACTCCCCTGGGGGGGCAGATAATTCCCCCCCGGGGGGGATCAGGCGGGGCACGTACAAGCTGCGCACTTCCTTGGTGGAGCGCTGCAGGCTGGCGTGTTTGTCACCCAGGCGCTTCACCAGCGTCGCCAGCATCTTGCGCTGGTTCCTCACCGCGTCCTCCAGAAACTTTTTTTTAATGGGGTTGGGGGGGCTGCGAGGCCCAAAACACCCCAATGGGGGCAGCCCCCCACACCAGCGACCCATGGGGGGGGCCCAAAATAGCCCCCCCAGAGACCCCCCGCCTCCTGGAGCCCCTGGAGAAAGGAACCAACTTGAATGAGTTAACCCACTCAACGCTTATCTAACGTCCTCGTTAATTTATTAGCCATTAACAATCAAATTAATTTGGGTTAAGGAGGTGGCCGAGCTAACAAACTCGTCAGCCAGCAAAACTGAAATTAAAAAAAAAAAAAGCCACTAAATTAGTTATTTGCTTCAACTGAACGAGATCTTAGGCATCAAAAAGGCTTTTAATATAACGAATCCCTCAGGTAGGCAATCTAACTAGATATCTCCTCAGATAATCAGGTAACGAATCAAATTAGTTATCGATTCAACCAGAAAATTTAACCAGGCTCAGAGCAAAACCAGTCTATTAAAAAAAAAAAACAAAAACCAATTAAAAATTGGTTAAAAATCAAGCTAATTAAAGTAACGGAGAAGGTAATTAATTTTTCACGACTAGCAAATTAGATATCTGCAATTCCGAAACCTAAAAGCAATTTAAGCCCTGCAAACCAACCAGCCCGCTAATTAACAAAGTAACTAATCAGATAACGTACGTATTTGCTCAAAACCAAAAATTAACCAAAATTAACCCTCTACTCGGTCAACGCCTTCAGCAGTTGCCCAACTAATAACTAATGAGCTTCATTTTTAAAATCAATAACTAATTGACGACAATAATTAGCCAGCAGGCTAACTTCAGTTCTTTTTCAACAACTAATCGGCTTAATTCGTTATCTACCTTCTTAGATACTCATGAAAAACATTTTAGGTGCTGCGGGGCCTCGCCGATAAGGCGCAGAGGCGACCTTTTCAGTCGATAAATAAACTTGTTCAGTTATCCGACTTGCCCCAAATTGCTATTTTTAAGGGATAACGAGCAGGATAATCGATTGGAGCGATAATTAGCCACGAAAAAACAATTTTTATTAAATTAATTACTGCCAGCGCCCACTCACTGGTGGTCCTTGTGCGCGTTGAGCTGGCAGTCGCGGCAGGTGAGCGTGTCGCACGTGTCGCAGAAGAGCACCAGCGGCTCGTGCTTGTGTATGGAGCAGTACACGGTGCGCTCCTTCTCCTTCGCCTTGCCGCTGCCTGCGGGAAACGCGGCGTGACGTCACCGTGATGTCACCGTGACGTCACCGGCACCCAGTGGGACCCGCTGGCGAAGGAGGCGTCCCTTTGGGACAGGCACGGCCGCGGTGACACCTCCGGATGCGCCCAGGGATGGGCTGGCCAGAAGGTCACCGCCTCGGAAAGGACGGCGACAGCGCGGTGACAAGGACAGCGACAGCGCGGTGACAAGGACGGACCTGCGGCCCGGACTGTGTGGTCCTTGGTGTACTTGACCCGCTGGTGGGCTTCCACGCAGGTCTCGCAGAGCGGCTCCGAGCACTCCACGCAGTAGCTGGTGGCCGGCGCGTTGTCCTCGCAGCTGGTGCAGCACTGGGGGACAAGAGACACGGCGTGGGGACACCGGGCTCGCAGAGCCGCAAGGAGCTCACTTCACCCTAATTAATCATTAATTAAGCATTAACGATGCATTACCTGACTTGATCCCTGGCTGGTGGCAGCTGTCTCGGCCCCGCTGTCCCTCAGAAAGTAGTTCTCCACGACGTCCTTCAGGTGACACTGGTGTTTGCAGACGGGGCAGTCGACAACTGCGGGGAGGGGAGCTGTGAGGGGGTGTCGGGGGGGGGCCCAGGGTCACCCCAAACCCCCATAATTAAGCATTAACGATGCATTACCTGACTTGATCCCTGGCTGGTGGCAGCTGTCTCGGCCCCGCTGTCCCTCAGAAAGTAGTTCTCCACGACGTCCTTCAGGTGACACTGGTGTTTGCAGACGGGGCAGTCGACAACTGCGGGGAGGGGAGCTGTGAGGGGGTGTCGGGGGGGGGCCCAGGGTCACCCCAAACCCCCATCACCACCGTTTGTCACTAGAGAGTCCCCTCGTGGACCCACACGGTGCAGGTGCCCGCGTGCCTGCCAAAATCGCACCGGCTCGTTAGCGGGGTGAGCCGCTAACACGCTTCAGCAAAGAAGGAAGAAACCAGAAGATCCTGGGTCCTGACGGTGACGTGCGGATCTTGGAGACCCCCAAAGCCGAAGCCCCACTACGGCTCCGGGGCTGTCTCCGATGTCGTCGCAGAGGGGACAGCGCCTCAGGGGATCCCTGCTCCCGAAGCAGGTCCAGCATGGATCCAGGTCGCCTTCTTCCAGCCAAACCGCCGGGGTAAGGAAGTTTCATCCACTGCAATCCTCCACGGCCGCTGCCTCTTGCTCAGCTCCATCATCCACCTTCACAGCAGGCGCTGATTTACCCTCCCTCCTCCTCCTCCTCGCCTCGGGAGGCGGCACAGCGACGGTTGAGATGCTGCCATCCGCAGACGGCGGGGAGAGGATGTGGCGCTTTTGATCTCTCCAGAAGCCTCCCCGCCGAGGCGGAGGGGGGCGGAGACGGCGACGAGGCGCCGCGGCGGGCGGCGCG